CCCGCCCGGCCGCCCTCCGCTTTCTTCCTGCCTTCTTCCGTCGGAGGACTCCGGCGGGGAGAAGTCTTCTCCAGTGCCTGCTTCTGGGCAGCTTCGTCTCTTCTAACTGTACAACCGTTCGGATTCTTTAAAATGGAAAATAATAAAACGTACTGGGCATTTCTAACGTTTTGTTTGGTAATCTGCTAGTGAGAGCGCTTTGTTCTAACAGGAGCACGGATTCCTCGGTATTAAGTGTTTCAGTACAGCCACCTGAGGAGCGAGTCTCGGATACTTCACAGATAGCGTTTTCCCAGTGCTGTCTTACCGAAAGTATGTTTTGAGGAGGGAGAGAGAGGAAGCTTGTTGACACTCAGAGGGTTTGATTTCTTAGAATTTATCGCGTGGGGTGATTTCTGATATGGCATAAGTCAATTGCTGTGGTGCTTTAAAACTCAAAAATGGCTTTTCTTTAAATACCCTTTTTTTGCCTTATCTTCCTCTCACCTGTACTTTGAATTTTCCAAATCTTGATTCTCTCTGTTCCACCTTAACTAGTTTGGTTTTTTTAACTAATGTTTTTTAGCTCTTTAGTTATTAAATTTTTTTCTATGGTACTACACTGAAGAAGTGTGTTACTGTGCAGTTAGACACTGTTAGTGTGGTATAGGTGGTGCCGAGGCTAGGGAAAAGCTAAACCATTTTGCTAGATGCCTTCTCCAGATTTCCCTTTCCTTCCCAAGAGGAACATAACGGTTACTCACTGCCACTTTGAAGTAAAATGCCTCTTTGATCAGGCTGCAAACTCAACTGATGTTGATTTTGATTTGTCACGTAAAATAGACTTTCTGTTTGCTTGTCATAGTAAAAATAAATTTTGAGTTCTAATGAACGGGAAGGCCTCAGAGTAAAGCTTAGAGATGTTGCTTGGAGAAATTCAGTGTTCTCATTTCTGATGTGAGGCATTGTAACTGTGGGTGGGGTTTTTTTGTGTTTCTTTTTACATTGGAGAGGAAAGTTCGGTGTTTTCTGATCCTATTAAGACTGTGTGCAAGCTTACCAATGATTTTTTTCTTAAATGAGTGATCTCGAAACATTTGAGTGATAATCTTCTCCAGTTCTTTATTGAGTCTTATAAAACTAAGCTATTCATAATACTGTAATAAAGTAAGAAGTCTGCAGGCTCCTGAAGCCACGTTCAGATCAGTACATCCATCTTCTGAAGAATTCAAAGGCGGCATTTTTCTAGTTTTGTTGCCCATACTGAGATGAGGGCAAGGATGAAGTGCTCCTCAATAAATTTTACCTACAAGTTTTGTGGGGAACTACTGCAATTTCCAATAAATGAGGGGGTTTTGTAGAAAACTCCTGGTTTGTACTTGGCATGCAAGCTGGCGCAGGTAGTCTGAAGAGCATCAGTTCCTCACGTGCTGAGGAACGTGGCTGAAAGATTTTGCTTAACGGAGCTGAGGCAATTACTAGTAGGCACGCAATGCAGTCTTGCAAAAATCAAGCAAAATTCATATCTAAATCAAGCACGTTTCCTGTTAGTATTATTCTTAATAAAAGGCTGTTCTGTGACCAAATCCTAGAATCTTGCCTTTTCCCTGTACAAACAGGCAGCGTGCTTGGTGAAGAAGGGTGGCGTGGGAGAGTCCCACTGGGAAAGCTGCTCTTCCTGCTGCTCTGGCCTTACGTGCACCATAGCTACTCTGTCCAGAGAGGGGAAAAAAGAACAGAAGCATCAATTACTTCATTGTGTTGCCCCACGAGTGGTTCCGTAAGTTGTCTCCTCTGCTGGCAGCCAACAGGCAGCCATATCGTGGTTAATTGACTCACGGCGAGGCAGCTTGAGCCTCAGTGCTGGGACTCGGGGAACTGGAAGAGGTGGAGTGAGAATACAGGTGCTTTTGTAAGGGGTTGGAAATTGAAATGGCAATGTTTTGTGAAGACAAGTCTTGTTTCTCTTACGTAGAAGGAAAAACAAACTGTGCAACTTAATCCACTCCTGCATAAATTAGAACTTAAAAAAAAACCCAAGGAAGATTTCTTTTGAGTATAACCTGCTAGCAGTTAGCTCTATCCATGGATATTCTTCGTACTCATAGTGTGTTTTAAAATGTGAGGGACAAGTATGTGACTCATAAGTAGAGATTAATGCCTCCTTGCAGGCCAGCTCTTCGTTACAAAGGCCAGACAGCCTTCAGGGACAAGTCAGAGTTACGTGGTGAGTTAACTTGCTGGTCCTGCTGGGTACGCTCGCTCGAATCCTCTGGTTCAGCGTGGCTGGAAAAGGTTTTTAGAGTGTCTTACAAAGTAGCGATTGTGAAACATTACAAACACTTTCTTAAGAAATACAGAAAACCAAAGGGAAGCTAGAATTCCTGACAATTCAAGACAAACTTGAAAAGTATTGGAAGACACTGAAGAGTGTATTTCTGGACTACGGTACTTTTCCTAAATCCCAAAGCATTTTTAAAACCAATGAAGGTAGTGAGCATTTTTCCATTTTAGTATTGGAAAGGGTAAAGCGTCCTAATAATGGAGTTGGTTACATGTCCCGCTGGGATGCATCTGTTTTTTACCTCTATCCTCACTGAAAGATGAAGGGTACTGTTTATTTATAAATTGGCTTGATACTTGCGTTACGTTCTTTCTACATCCAAGCGGTGTGGCTTTAACTGGGCCTCCCCCTGTGATCTCTTGCTCATTTTCCTGAGTTTCTGTACCTTAATTTCAGGTAGTGTGAAGTGTGAGAAATATAAACTATTTCCAACACGATGGGCATTGTATATGGGCAGAAGGAATTCCACCTGCTTGTGTTCTGCTAGTTAACATATCTTTGTAAATTCTCTGTAGAGTAGAACATATATGCACTTCTAATTAAAAAAATCTAAGAGATATTATATATAGTATTTAATGAATGTTTAGCTAAAAGTAGAATACTGAAACAATGTTATCTAAGATTTATGAATACAGTGAGAAATCTGAGGACGGCAGGTGGAAGGAGAAAGGTTTGTTTCTGGGGCCTTAATTATAGATGATTCAAGAGAAGAAGAACCAAGCTTGACTCTTGCAGAAAAAGCATGCAAAGCTTCATGCTAAGATGGTTTATTTTACTTACAAATGGGATATACTTAATCCAGAAAATATAACCGTAGAAGTGCACTACCACCTTCATTTTTAGTTATGTTTGTTACCATTCTCTTGGTAATGTGGCTGTCTTTTACACCAAGTAGCATAAGTGTGAGGATTAATAATCATTTATAAATTAAGAAATCTTGGCAGTTTACTCAATTTCTATATTCCAGTTACTTTTCATTATAAGTTATATGTTATATTCATTTTTTCTTTTTTTGCTACACCAGAGGGCAGCAAATGACGCTGCTATTCAACTGAAGGTACAGATAACTTAATAGAATTGCATGCTATCTTGCAAAGTTCCTTTGAAAAAATAGATGGACACTTTAAAAAATTGCTAAAACTTTCCAGTAGGCAGAAATACTTAGCTTTTTCCAATGGGATAGTTCTAAGATTATATTATACCTTTTATTCACCATGGGTGAATAGAGCAGTATGGGAGCCCGAGCACAATACCATAGCTCTCTAGTTCTGAATACCGTCATTTTTTAATTTTCTGATTAATCAGAATGATAGCAGTACATTAGTTAACATTTGCACTAGCGAAACAGTTGCACTAGTGAGTTATTTTCTGCAAACTGTAAAACTTGGGCCACTTCTTTCACTTTAGTCATAGTCAGCATAAAATTCAGTTGTTTTTTGGGATGATTTGCATACATTAAACATTCATGGCTGATGACGATTGTAGTCTGTTTTAGCATCAGGATTTTACTTGAGTACGTCAGATAATTCCTTTTTAAAGCTGAGCTATTTTAAGCATCACTGGTTTCCGAATCCTTGTCAGGCAGAGCTCTGTTAGTTCTGTGCTGTTGCACCACTGATTCCATAGATTTTCTAAAGGAAAATGGAAAAAAAAAGAAGTCAGAAGAGCTATTCAGTTTCATAGTACACAAAGGGGGCTTAAATGTACATTTACAACTTTTTCAGTTGTTTCTTGGTCGTTAAAATTTAACCATGCAATATTTCATTTTAGTACTATTATTATAATACATTCATAAATCTGTGCTCTTGTGACTTACTAAAAATGCATGCTTTCCACTGCTCTGAGGCTACCTTTATTGCCCAAAAGAACTCAAACACATTTAAACCAGATCAAACTGTGGCACGTTTCGGTAAGTTAGACATCCTCATCTGAAAATGCCATTCATGTTCACTTATTCCTTGTCTATTTGCCATTCTCCTTCTATATTGCTCTTTTTGTTAATTTCCATCAGATGTGATTTGACAAAAACCCTATGAATATAATACAGTACAGTGTATTCTTTGGTGCCCTTTGAAACTGAGCCATCATTCCATGCTATCATGAAATGTGTCAGGATGCTGACATAGCTGAACGGTTCTGACTGCTCTAAAAATACAACTATAATAACATTTTTCTTGGGTTCAGAACTGTAACCTTTTGCTTTCTCATTTTCATGCCAGCTTGATAATTACTTTTTATTGCAGTAACACACAAAATGCACTGGACTTTTTTTTCCCCCCTCTCATTAACACATACCAGAACAGTCTCTGCCACAAATAGTTCATAACTGGCATTTGTTTTGAAACCCACCTCAAACAGCTGCAATAGTCCACCTCGGATACGTCTACTCAGACTCCCTGGTTTTTGTGAAAAAGAAATTTAGTCCAAAGAATTGGTACTCTGATCATGGATGAATGACAGTTCAAGCTTTATGTAAGTTGCAAAAAAAAAAAAAAAAAATCCATTTGGAGGTGATGCATGTGAAATTAGAATTTTTGAACAGGTAAATCACAAGAGCATTTACTCGGGTTCAGGCGAGGCATAGTTGCCCCATGTTTTCTTCTGCGGCACAGCTGGCTTAGAAGCTCTTCGCAGTCTGATGCCTCTCGGGTAATGCCGATATCAGTGCTTGTGGGGCTGCAATGTAAATCCCACTGCTGAAATGGTGTTAAGGTTAAACTTACCAAGTTTGTAAACATCCTAGGAAGTCATGAGGTTACGTTTAATGTCTCACTTCTCTCGTGAGGTTTGCAGCTTGACCACACGTGGCACTGGCGTAACTGAATAGTGAACTGCTGTGGACAGACTGAGAATAACCAGCTGGATGCAAAAACGGCTTCAAGTTGCTTTTGCGAAGGAAGAAAACTTAACGCCGTATATTCTGAGCCAGACGTTATTACAATCGGTACAGAAACTATGGGGTAATGACCTGCAGGCTGCTATGTAATTGGATACACGCAG